AAATCCATACTCAGAAACCCATCGCATCTGAAATTTTTGAATCACTAGTTCGGTTCTAGCTTCAGTAGGCAAAGGAATGAACATAGCATACTTAGAGAATCTATCGACGATRACCATTACTTGACTGTTACCGTTTCTACTSTTAGTGAGGCTCATGAAGTCGATAGAGATARACTCACCTGGCTCACTTRGAATAGGCAGTGGTCTCAGTAGTCCCATCGGATTCTCATGTGAGAGCTTGTTCCTCTGAAAGACAAGACAAGTCCGCACATAGGTTAATACATCTTCCTTCATTCCTTTCCATTCAAATCTTTCTCGGACATCGGCGTACGTCTTCTTGAAACCAAAGTGTCCTTCTGCATCATGGCATTCCCCAATGATTAAACTTTTAATTGGTTCTTGGTGAGGAATACACAATCTTTCTTCGGTTTTGTCTATAAAGAAGAGTAAGCCATCAGTCATTTGATACTCTGGGAATAGTTCAAGTGCGAGGCCATTGCCTTTATGAGCCCCATAAGGCCCCCTTAAGTGAAGGCAGGCTCGACGAGGCCCTCAGGGCCCTTTTCTGGCCACTACGCAACTCAGGAAATTTCAGGCAGTTGGGCAGCGCCAGTTGGTTGAGTGAACCCAGGCCCTGGGCCGCCTGTGTGAATGAATGTGAAGCAGGCCCTAGGCTGGATACAGGTACCGGGCCAAACAAAGGCCGAAGGCAGCTGGGCACATGCAACCACTACAGGCCCAAGGGCCTGCTCTCGTCGTGCTGGGCCTCAAGCTACCAGGGCCTACTGGAAGCTTCCTGAGACTGGACGCAGGCAGGCCACTTCGATATAGGGAAGGGCCTGCCTCCTCATTCAGGATTCGGGTGCTGGCTGCATGCTGCGCAAGTGCTGCTGCGCTGTTTGCTGGCTGGCGCCTACGCTGTCACGGGAGAGCAGGGAAGGAGCACGCAGCCATAGCCGAGCTGCGCTGCTGTAAGCTGGGTGAAGCGCAGGGTGGTCCTTGGGTGCTAGTGGCATCTGTGAGTTGGGGAACGAGGTTGTGAGTGTAGCGCGAGACATACCTNTGCTGTAAGCTGGGTGAAGCGCAGGGTGGTCCTTGGGTGCTAGTGGCATCTGTGAGTTGGGGAACGAGGTTGTGAGTGTAGCGCGAGACATACCTGGTGCTGGAAGCGTGCAACATTGGTCGCCATATACTCGTACTTCGGGAATGCTGTTGATGTCATCTTTCGACTTCGTAGTATAGGCTAGATAGGATCTGCCACATGTAGTCTGGGCGCCGAGCGCCAGATAGGATATCAAATGATGATGGGTCTATTTCAACATTGTCAATTATGAACTCTTGGTGTCTTCTTATTTGGTGATTCTCGTGATGCAATGCTGCTGTTGGTTCGAGGTCAAGACTATCTGGACACATATACATGATGTTGTTTGATTGTTGAAGTTCGCTATTGCTCATCTTCCTTGCAATTTGGTATCAGAGTTGTGGTACGATTGCACTCATCTGGCGCTTGTCTTCTGCCTTATGCGGTACATACATGCGGTCTGCTGGGCGAGTTTGGCCGTAAGTGGTGTGTAGTGAGGAGGGTGGAGACGAGTGTGAAGGCGACCCAGGAGGTGAGGGGAAGGCTATGTGAGGTGAATGTGGTATGGACAGTGTGATGAGAACTATCTAATGTGCGATTGATGCTGAGGTGGAACGGTGAATAATGCTGGTTGTGTCGATGGAGTGACTGGTTAATCGCCATTTGGTCATCTGGTGAGATTATCTCTGTGGTTGGGGGCAGCTAAATGAGGTACATTGCTCTTAACCTTATCTTCCCTCTCCGACACTTCTTACCGTGAGGTTGTGTGTTCCTTCTTGACAATCCTCTCATCGTGAGGTGTCGAGTGCGCTCAACCTCGAGAGTCGACAATGTTCACGTGGAGCATCTGGGTGGAGATGGGCGAAGCTTTCTGAAGGGCCCTGGACGAAGCACTGGGTCACGGTCACCATGCCAACCCGCAGGGAGTAGAGCACGCATGCCTAAGCTGCTTGTCCTTTGTTCGGCTTGCTGCGCTGTTAGATGGGTACCACCGGGCAGGCCAGCCCTACAGGAAAGACGAGCACCCGGCGTCTATAAATAAACACGGGAAGGGGAACCGTTCACTGTGATCGTTGTCCGACTGCGACGTAAAATAATTCCTGGAGTCACTTGGGGGCGGACGTTAAATTGCCCCTGGATCAGTCAATGGTTGGAAGGCTCGCAGCACACCGAGAATAAAATACGTGCAAGGCTGGCCGGTTCAGTGGATACTCGGGGCACAAGGGTGGGCGACACACACCTTTAGACACGCATCGCTCTCCAGATTGCTCAGGGACGCTGACGTCAAGTGATACTCAGGGGAATTAAGGGAAGGGTTGATTTCGGGTGATAAGTTCGAGAAAATGCCATGTTGTTCTATCCACACAACTGATTTTATTTTTATGTTTTCATTAGTTGGATGACTGCCATTGACATCTGACAGACAGCATTAGTTAGAACTGTTGTTTGCGGACTAGTCATACTAAAAATAGTTTCAATTGTAGGAATCTGACTTACCTGTTGACCTCAAATGATATCTGTTCCAAAATAGCCACCAGCTAATTAGTTGGTCTGTGCACTATGTTACGGTAGACATCTAGTGTGTTCTAGTGTAGACAGTGCACAGCGCTGTAGCCTATGCGCGACGAGGAGGACACTGGACAGGACGACCGAAGGATCTTGCGATCAGCTAGGGGCCCGATATCCCACGTGTCTTTAGGACCGGAGGGGGATAGACATCTGTTCCACCAGCTTAGGGAGAGGCGGCAGCAGCAGAGGAGGGCTAGAGCAGTCGACGCCAGCAAAACTTTAGTTAGCGAGGCCGGTGCTACAGCAGCCATGGCCACTACAGCCATGTCCACTTCTGCGCAGCAGATTTCCCAAGCCGGTAGTTCAGGTGCCGTCGGGTCAACGGTTGCGCAGACCGTGAGTCAGTCCACTGGCATTATGGCAAGCCACGCAGCAGTGTTGACTCCAGAGGATGTCGCCATCCAGCAGGCAGCCTTGCAAGAGGCACAGCTACAGCGGGCATTAGGGGAGATAATAGCGGAAAAAGAAAAGATGATCAGAAGAAGAGCCAGGATGCCGTGAAGAGGGGCAGACATAGAGGAGTTAGAGACGATGGACCTGATGCATATGGATGATGACGTGAAGGTAGTTAGGAGAGCCCTGCTAGGAGTCATAGAGATGCAGGAGCATCAAACTACCATCCTTCAGGACATTCAACAGAGCCTGACTGTTTTGTCAAGCCGTGCTCAAACAGCACCATCACCAGCCGGGCCTGGTGCCTGGCCCGTGCCATATCCTCCCTTTTCTGTCCCACCGGTGACAGGGGGATCCCCATATGTAGCCCAGTCAACGGTTGCTATCGTTTCCCTGGGCATGCCGGTGTCAGGAGGGGTAACAACAGGGAGTAGTTTACAGTTCCTGTACAGACAGTGTTTACTCCAAGTCCGTCGCAGGTTGCAGTCACCACACAGCCTGCTGTCTCGCAGCCTGTGCAGCCTTAGGGCACACAGCCCCTGCAGCTAGCACAGCAACCGGTGTCACCGGGTCCACATCCCGAAGTGATGCAGGGACCGAGACAAACTCAGTGGGTTCCGAAGACGGCCATCGCCGCTCCCAAACCTTTTACAGGGGATAAGGGCGAAGACCTCGACACATGGTTGAGGGCAGTGCCAGTCTACATCAGGTGTAAACTCACCTTGCCGCACGAAGAAGTGCTTGTGGCTGCCTCCTACCTAGAGGGTAGTGCAGCAAGATGGTTGAGCGGTTTAGTGCAACTTCAGGGACATGGTTATGACTTCCTCGCTTAGGCGGCCTCCCAGAAATTGGAGGATTTCCTGAAGATGGTGGAAGAGAGGTGGCATGATCCTCAGGAGGCTCAAAGGGCCACTGATGCGATCCTGACACTGCACACACGGCAGTTTAAGTCAGTAAGGGAAGCCACTGACGCTGTTGAGCGTCTAATCTGTGTCCCAGGGGTGCGCTATGACCCCCAGGTCCTGTTGACTTCGTACCTGAGATGCTTTTCTCAGCCTCTCAGGAACCAGTTGGCAAAAGAGGCCAACATCAATATGCACTTCCCTTCGTTTAGCAAGGTGGCCCTAGACCTTGAGGCAAAGATAGGGCATGGACAGGCACCCACTACGGATGGGAGAAAGAAGACACTGCCTCCCAACTGGAAGGCGAAGGGTTGCATCATGTTTGTCGACAACGATCGTTCAACCATCGAGTTGGACGGCAACTTCTAGGAAGGAGTAGGTTCAGAGGCAGGCAGCATAGATGATTCAGAGGGTGGAGTAGTAGCTGCCGTATCCCAAAAAGGTAAGGCGACCGGTAGACGCCGCGGAGGCTCCCGGTCTAGGAGTCAAGTTAACCCCAATGCTCCTCCATGGGAGAAAGCAGGTCTTACAGAGCTAGTAGTCTGATAGAGTCCTACGGGTGCATGTGTGCGGCCGCGTTCTAGAATTACTATAAGCAAAATCAAGAGGAGGGTATGTAGTTAGTTTATGTCTCTGCTGCAGGCGAGCCGGTAAAAATGCCGCCTGAGATAGAGGGAGTAGTTGCTCAGTACCCTGATCTATTTGAAGAGCCGACAGGGGTTGTTGAGAGGGAGGTCGTCCACGCGATAGAAATTATCCCAGGGTCTAGTATTCCGAAGGGTAGGATCTATCGGATGTCTCCAGGCGAACTTGATGAGCTCCGCCGCCAACTCAAGGAACTCGTAGAGAAGGGGTGGATCTGGTCGAGTGTCTCTCCTCATGGGTCTCCAGTTTTATTTGTGTCTAAGAAGAAGGAGGGCACTCTTAGGATGTGCATTGACTATAGGGGCCTCAATGCCATCACTGCAAAGAACAGAGAGCCCCTACCGCATCGACGATCTGCTAGATAGAGTGCAAGGGTGTCGGTACTTCAGTAAGATAGATTTGAAGTCCGGGTACCATCAGATTGCAATCCGGCCCGAAGATCAACACAAAACCGCCTTTCAGACCAGGTACGGTCTGTATGAGTTTGTGGTGATGCCTTTCGGCTTTTGCAATGCTCCTGGCACCTTTCAGCATCCTATGAATCGGATATTCCATGACTACTTGGATAAGTTTGTCATCGTGTACCTCGATGACATACTTATTTTTAGTAAGACTGTCGAGGAACATGTTGCACATTTGGACAAAGTCCTCGGTCTCCTGCGACAGCAAGTTCAAGATCAACAGTGAGAACAACGAGTTTGGCCGCACCCGTGTCTTCTACTTGGGTCATGAGATCTTCGCGGAAGGGTTGAAGCCCGATGACGCGAAGGTGGCCAGCATTCGTGATTGGCCACGTCCTCAGTCTGTGACTGGGATGAGATCTTTCTTAGGAATGACAGGCTACTACAGAACTTTTGTAAAGAACTATAGCATAGTGGCCGCTCCTTTGACTGATCTAACCCGCCTTGACACCCCGTGGGAGTGGACAGATGAGTGCGAGGCTGCTTTCAGACATCTGAAGCATGAGTTGACGCACTACGAGGTCTTGAAACTTCCTGATCCTGACAAGCCGTTTACAGTCACCACGGATGCCAGCCAATATGGCATTGGCGCCGTGCTCGCGCAGCAAGAGAGGCCAAAGTTGAGGCCAGTCAAGTACATGTCAAAAAAGATGCCGTCTCAGAAGCTGGCAAAGTCCACCTACGAGAAGGAACTCTACGCAGTGTACAAGGCTCTGACCCATTGGAGACACTATCTCCTTGGGAGATTCTTCATCCTCAGAACTGATCATCAGACCCTGAGATGGATGAGAACTCAGCAGGTACTATCTGACGCTCTGAAGCGATGGATCGAAGTCGTTGAGCAATATGATTTCGACCCCCAGTATCTCAAAGGGGAATGCAATAAGGTGGCTGATGCCTTGTCGCGTAGACCTGACTTTTCAGGTGCGCTGATTACTGAGTTCGATCTCACGGACGATGTTACTCGCTCTTTGGTGGATGCCTACCGCGAGGATCAGTTCATGTCTGAGATCATACGCAGACTCCAGGCAAAGGACAAGAAAACCTCTGCTGAGTTTGAGTTGGTCAATGACTTGCTGTTCCTTGAGAAGGATGGGAATAAACGATTGTGTCCCGAGTAGCGAGTCTTTGCGTAGTTTGTTTTTAGGCGAGTGTCATGATGCCACCGGCCATTTTGGATATAAAAAGACCGCAGCCAACCTGCTGCAGCGGTTCTGGTGGCCCACGATGATGCGGGATGCCCAGCTATACGTGGAGACTTGTCAAATCTGTCAACGGGACAAGCCACGTACTCAGGCTCCTCTTGGGCTTCTGAAGCCCCTTCCGATTCCGAAACGGCCTGGTGAGAGTCTTTCCATGGATTTCATGGATACTCTAATCACCAGCAAGAGTGGGATGCGTCACATCTTTGTCATTGTGGATATATTTAGTAAGTATGCTAGGTTAATAGCCATGCCGGAAATAGCAAAGACGAAGTACGTGATTAGAATGTTTAAAGAGAACTGGGTCAGGGACTTTGGTCTACCGAAGTCCATTGTTAAAGACAAAGACGTCTGGTTCACCAGTGAGTTGTGGAAGGCCGCAGCTGCAGAACAGGGAACTCGGTTGCAGATGACTTATGGGAATCACCCAGAGGCCAACAGTCAAGCTGAGCAACTGAACCGCGCTGTGCAACACCTGTTGAGGCATTACATCAAGCCCAATCAGGTGGACTGGGATGAGAAGCTTGCTCTCATCGCCAGCTTGTACAACAACGTTGTACACAGCGCCACCGGGGTGCGCCCAAACAGCTTACTACTAACATTCAAGCCTAGACTACCCCTATACTTTTTTCTTCCTGAGAATCAAACCACTGCTGCACCAGGTACCCTGGAATTTGCTTCCCGCTATGAACAGAAGATGCAGCAGGCTGTAGAACAGATGTAGAAGGCGCAGGCTGCAATGATAGGGTCAGGGTTAAGGCGTAAGAACTGGGACAGGAGCACGGGATCTCCCGCAAACTCATGCCCCAATACTTTGGACCCTGGGAAGTCTTGGATATCGTTGGGACAGATCTAGATGGGCCATCCTATGTTATCCGGATACCTGGTCATCTCCGTACTTACCCTGTCTTCCACGCCTCCAAACTGGCACCTTTCAAAGAAATTGATCAGTTTCCATCTCGTCGCTCAATGCTGCCCCCAACCATGGACAGAGAGGTGGACATCGATGATATTGTGGATCACAGAGAGCTGTCGGTATCAAGACCAGCAGGTGGGGGACGTCCTCCAAAACCGAAGCTGCAGTACTGCGTTCGATTCCAGCATCACACTGATCCGAAGGAGGACCGATGGTTCACCAGGGAAGAGCTCATGCAAACCGCTCCTCAAGTTGTAGCCCAATACGAGAGATCTCTGCACAAGGGAAAGCGCCCTCTGATCGAAGACAGAGCTTCTCAGAGGACTGTTGAAGCTGAGGAGGAGGGAATGCGCGGCCATTGCCTCTATGAGCCCCATAAGGCCCCCTTTTTGCAGCCCGTCGGCCGCCCTAAGTGAAGGCAGGCTCGACGAGGCCCTCAGGGCCCTTTTCTGGCCACTACGCAACTCAGGGAAATTTAGGCAGTTGCGCAGCGCCAGTTGGTTGAGTGAACCCAGGCCTTGGGCTGCCTGAGTGAATGAATGTGAAGCAGGCCCTGGGCTGGATACGGGTACCGGGCCAAACAAAGGCTGAAGGCAGTTGGGCACATGCAACCACTACAGGCCCAAGGGCCTGCTCTCGTCGTGCTGGGCCTCAGGCTACCGGGGCCTACTGGAAGCTTCCTGGGACTGGACACAGACAGGCCACTTCGATATAGGGAAGGGCCTGCCTCCTCATTCGGGATTCGGGTGCTGGCTGCATGCTGAGCAAGCGCTGCTGCCGCAGTGCCGCGCTATTTGCTGGTTGGCGCCTACGCTCTCACGGGCGAGCAGGGAAGGAGCACGCAGCCATAGCCGAGCTGCGTTGCTGTAAGCTGGGTGAAGCGCAGGGTGGTCCTTGGGTGCTAGTGGCATCTGTGAGTTGGGGAACGAGGTTGCGAGTGTAGCGCGAGACATACCTAGTGCTGGAAGCGTGCGACATTCGTCGCCATATGCTCGTACTTCGGGAATGTTGTTGATGTCATCTTTCAGCTTCGTAGTATAGGCTAGATAGGATCTGCCACATGTCGTTTGGGCGCCGAGCGCCAGATAGGATATCAACTATGGTTCTTCGTTGATGATGATGGGTCTATTTCAGCATTGTCAATTATGAATTCTTGGTGCCTTCTTATTTGGTGATTCTCGTGATGCAATGCTGATGTTGGTTCGAGGTCAAGACTATCTGGGCTCATATACATGATGTTGTTTGATTGTTGAAGTTCGCTATTGCTCATCTTCCTTGCACAAGGTTCTTTCTCAAAGTCTCGATAATAGGACTCCAGATGGAATCATTCTCATAACCCTTCCTTATTTGTTCCTTCAATTCATTCCCAATGATAAGAGACAATCGTTCCAAAGAAATCTGCACGCCTGGACAAAGCATCCGCAACCACGTTAGACTTACCTTTGATGGTTTTCACCTCAAAGTCAAATGTATCAAGGAATGAGGACCACCTTACCAACTTGTCAGAGAGTCTAGTCTGAGTCTTGATCCACTTCAAAGTAGAGTGATCAGAGTAGACAGTGAAATGCTTTCCCAATAAGTAGTGTTTCCAGGTATCTAGTGCATCGACTAAGGCGTACAACTCCCTTTCATAAGTGGAGTTGGCGACTTTCTCTGACGGGAGCCTCCTGGACATAAACTCAACAGGTCTATATCCCTTACCGTCGTCTTGTTGTAGCACAACGCCAATCCCATACTGACTTGCGTCAGTCGTGACGATGAAAGGAAGAGAAGGGTCAACAATCTTTAAGACAGGGTAGTGAGTTAAAACAGATTTCATTTTCCTGAATGACGACTCACAATCTTTGTCCCACAACCAAGGTTTTTCGTTCTTTAGCAGTCTTCTCATACGAGCAGTTATCAAGGAGAAGTTTCTGACGAACTTCCTATAATAACTAACAAGTCCTAGGAAAGATCTGAGTTGAGTTATAGTTTTAGGTTGTGGCCAATCTCGGATTGCTGTAATCTTCTTTTCTTTTGGTCTTAGTCCTTCTCCATTCACTATATGCCCTAAGTATTGTACTTCAGGCTTAGCAAATTCAAATTTCTTAAGAATAAGTTTGAAGTTACCTTCTCATAACTTCTGAAGAACCATTCGCAGATGTTTCTCGTGGTCTTCCAGTGTTTTACTATACACTAGGATATCATCGAGATAGACAATTACGAATTGGTCCAACCATTGACGAAACAACTCATTCATAGACCTCTGGAAGGTTGCAGGGGCGTTAGTCAGACCAAAGGACATGTTTTCGTAATTCCTCAAGTTCCCTGGAAAACATACGGTAAATGGGACCTTTGGGAATCTTGCTTCCGGGAATAATCTCAATAGTGTGGTTGATAGCACGCTCAGTGATTCTCGTCGGCTCAGTCTGCAAGTCCTTGTACTCGTCAAGAAGTTTTTCAATAGAAGGTGGGTAGGATGAAGAACACTCACCTACACGCTTAACAAGCACCATCATCACCTCCTGATCCAACTTCTTCTTTGTTACCATGGATTGGAAAGCTGGGTAACTCATGCAACAAAAAGACAGAGTAGAGTCAGAGCCAGACTTATGGTACAACTTTATCACACGCATTTCGGACTTATCGTCCTTAAGTTTGACAATTTTATCTTTGAACTTGACTTCTGGGTCCGGCTTCCTCATGCCAATCCGTACCCAGAATTAAGTCAAAGGGTAAATTCTTTTCAATTAGGAAGGATACCTTGTGTAGAATTCTCTTACCTTCCTTTGTCTTGAAATAGCACTTGACACGATCGACGTATTGAGAGACAGTGATCGTGCTCTTATCAGCCAGTATAGACGGGATAGGTCTAGGTAAATCTTTTACCTTCATTCCCAGATGCAATTTTCGAATTGCCTTCTCTGAGATATAAGACCGCGTCGATCCCGGATCTAATAGAGCACCTCCTCGCGTGTGCGCAATCTCAACATCCGCGATCATTAACTCACCCTTAGACTTTGCTTTCTTCGCCCACGAACTCCGTAGTGCTATCAGTTCAGTGCCGAGTTCGTCAAGGGAATCTTCCAGTGAGACAGAACAAAGCACAGTGTCAGGGTGGTCTGGACGACGGGCGGAAGAAGAGCCATCCTCTGCCTTGAGAGTCGAAGGGGTAGAAGGGGTTGTAGGCGCCTTACCTTTTTTCTTCGTCTATACCCTTCGGCTCAGTACGAGCAGATGCTACTCCTACTGGCTGCTCGCTTTTGGGTTACGGATAAGTGGGCACCAAGCGATCACATGCCCCACGGTGCCACACTTGAGGCACTGACGATTGTCCATCTTGGACTGCCACTCCTCCCTAGTCATGTTCATCTTTTCCCAAGGTCTCCCGAACGCGATGCTGGGATGCTCGGGAAACGAGCGTGGCCTCTTCTTCCTCTTCCATTGGCTTTGGCCTCCCTTGTTGGCCAATACAGCAGTGACATCACCCTTCTCAGATTCACTGCCGCCGTTACCTCCTCCTCCCTCAGTCTCACCAAAAGGTAACTTTTCTACTGTTTCATCATCAAATAACACAAGCATATGGTCCTGGCGCTTTTGCCGCCAAAGGACTCGCTTGCCGTACCCACCAACCGGTCCCGACTTAACAACTGAAGCGTACGAACCTTTGACCTGTGCGGTCATCTGCTCTCTCTGAAGAGCAAGGTCATGGAACTGCCGATAATTATACTTTCCAGACTTTGCTTTGGCCACGAGCTGTCCTCGAATGGGCTCGGGCAATGCACGCGAGTAGATGTAAAGAACCTGGTTGTCAAGAAGGTTCAGTCCAGGTACCTGCAAGAGACGATCCACTTCACGAGACAAGGCATCGACAGAAGTCCAACGTTTCTGGCCTATCGTGGTGAGCTCGTCGAAGGCCTTGTCGGTCGTTGTCTTATCCAGGAACCTCTCCTTAATCTTCTGGAGAAATTGCGTGAGAGTAAGGGTCTTAGCCCACTCACCAATATCTTCGCAGCCAGCAGCATTGGCCTCTGCCAGCACCCATTATTTGGCCACTCCTCCTAAACAAGACGTTGAGAAAGCAACCTGACTCTCGGGTTCTACGGGTGCGGTACTACAATAAGTCTGGATTTGGGCAAGGTTTCCTCTTTCTTGGTGCTGTAGGTGAAAGGCAACTTCATTTTCACCTTTTCTTTCTTCTTGGGTTTTTCCGCTTCTTTTGCCGGTTCTTCTTTCTTTCCGGTGGGTTCTTCTTTCTTCTCTTCCGACTTCTCAGGTTCTTTCTTAGAACCTTCGACTTTCTCGGGCGTG